TTCAGTTGATTACATAGTGAGGAAATTGATGCCTTCATCACCAACAATAAAAAAAATAAGCCAAAGATCCTTGCTGGTTGAAGGTACCCATGTGGACATCCATTCAGAAACAACAGCTCTCTTCTGAACAATTAAGACACTTGCATCCTGAGCTTGTTCTTCTTAGTGTATTGGCAAAGTGTTATCTATTGAGTTTTCTAAGCAGGCTGCTAAAAACAATTGTTTGTGATTGTGTATGTGATGATTAATGAACTCTTGCTTTTGATTTCCAACCCGTTCAAGTTCATATGCTTGATTGGTGGGCATCACTTGGTTTCTGTGATTAATTTGGATGCTTACACATTCTGTAGAAAAATGAAATACGAGCATAGATGTGACACTAACCTCGTGTAGAAGTGTAGAACTAGGGTAATAGAGGATTCTTCAATTGTGTTTACGACTTTCTTCCTTCTGCGTTCTAGCGCTCGTTCTGTGCGATCTAATGACTTTGACGGGAAGTTAAAGATAGAGGTTAACGATAGTAGAGTAAGGGTAGTTTAGATAATTGATATATTTTTATTAATTAAGTGGCTGTATTTAGTAAAAAGAGGGTTGTGAATAGAATTACCCTATCGGAAAAGCGTTGAACATATGATCGGCCCATCGGCCCTCTTCTTCCACCAGGGAGACTACCATATGGGCCTTAGAAAGATGGTCCAGAAATGCTTGAGCCCAGAGGCAATTCGCACCTTAGTTCCAGACATCCAGGATATTGCCACTTCCACCAGGGATTCTTGGGATGATGGCCAAGTTATTATCTGTCCTTTTAGGCTTGTGGTAACTATAAAGTGTGTAGGGTAAATGATAAAGAAGGAAAGAAGATATATTAAAAAGAGTAAAGTGATGATAAAGTAGGAAAGATAGTGTATTAGTAGAGTAAAATGATGATAAAGTATGAAAAAGAAAGTAGTTTGTAAAAAGTAAGACGAGTAAAAATAATAAAAGTGGGGGTATTTTATCAAAAACTTTTCTAAAATTGAAAGAAAAACATTTAATAAAAAACAGATGAAAAAAGAATAAGAGACAGATAATAACGAAGGGAGGGAGTATGTAATACTCACAATAATTAAATACTATCGTGCAAAGATTTAACTTAATATTTTCTCGGCCTCATTTTAAAATCTTTATTTTTATTTAAGACGCTTGATTATATTGAGTGTTAGTTAAATACTTCGTATAAAGGAACCTCATGTGTATTAATGTTTAATTAATCTTAGACATTCAGAAATAATATTCAAAGAGGATATTATTCATCTAAATAGAAGTAAAAATAACACATTTTTTAAAAATATGAGTATGTTTTTTTATTCCCAAGACTTGTTCACTATCATTTTAATAAGATCAATTAACTCCTACTTGATCCTACTTGACAATAATAGCAGGGGCGGATCTAGGATTTTTTCGTTATTGGGGGCACTGGCTACATACTAGCTAGGGTTGGGCAAAAATCATGATCCCGTTGTCCCATTCCAAAATATCCTGAAATTGTTCCTATTTCGTTGATGCAATTAAAAGGTTGTCCCATCCCGTCCTGTTACCATGTTTGTATGATTATTATATCGGGACCGGGATAACTCTAATCTCGAAACGTTCCAAACCGTGTGCACTCCTACTTGCTACTCACTATGATTAACTAGTACTCCACAAAGTATAAGGAACTGTAAAATATGACTAAGTAAACATATATTTAGTTTTTTTTGGATGTAAACACATATTTAGTTCAAATAATGCTATTATTATATATTATATTATATTGTCTGAGAAAACACCTCCTATATTCCTAACTAGTCCTCACAGTTTCGTTTCATCAAGTCTAAATTTATCTCCCATTTAATCTTAAGGAAATCAATATTATGCTATTTGTATTGGTACTTTTATCTCTCCACAACATTAGTATCATCTGCTAATTTTTAAAGAGAATATTTTTTTAAATATGATTATTGATATTTTTATCTATTAAAATCACACTCTCAAAAGATAATTTCATCTACTTTTGTCTATTATTACTCCTTTTATGAGCCATTATTTTTAATCTCCGTGCACATTTACAGTAACAATTTGTTAGGAAGAGAGGGAATCTTGTATCTTGATGAATTTATTTTTTTGAAAGAAGTGAGGATTTCATTCGTAATGTATCATGTACATCTAGTTTTACATCGTTAATATTGACTTATTAGCTTAGGCAGTAAAAAAAAATTAGGATCTAATCTTTCCTTATCTTACCTTTTTAGTTATTTAATTGCTTAAGGTTAGATATTAAGAATAAGATGTATAAAAGTGGCCTGCACTAATTTGTGTAAAAGTCGTGCAATATATTTGCATTTAATGGTTTCCTTGTTTCATGAAAAATTATTGGGGGCACTTCTTAATTTCTATTGGGGGCACTATATATCCTTAAATACAAAATGTTAGTGACATTTTCTTAAAATACAGTGACAAACCATTGGGGGCATGTGCCCCCAATACAGTGAACATACATCCGCCCCTGAATAATAGTGTTCGACTGTTCGAGAACCATATATTGGGACCTAGAAGTTTTTTTTTTTGCAAGGACCTAGAAGTATTTTGTAAGGACGGGACTTCAAGTATTTATATCCTTTAAAGTCTAAGTCATCTTGCTTACATCTTCTAATTATCTAAAATCTTATAAACACGAACGAAGGTTAGGGTATTTTAGCAATAAAAAAAATGTTGGTGTAACCAAAGCAATATTAACTTGATCCATACGCTTAAATTATTGTACAACCATTTCCAAATCCAATTATGACACTATCTTTGTTATGTTTTACTCCATCTCTCCGTTATTGTTTGTCTGCTCTAAAGTGATTATTAATTACACGCACACAAACACAAACACACGTATGTGCATATTCAATAAAAGGACTCACAAAAATAATTATATCTTCTGCAAGTTGTGTTGTGAGTGCACTAAGAGTCTAGGACTCGAGTAAATGTACAGCCATGTCTCGAATGTTATCATAGGCATTGTTGATTGATATCTCCACCAAATAGTTGTGTGGTGATCTTCATTTGTTGAAATTTTATTCAACTCTAAATCTACAATGTCTCTTTATAAACATTAACTTTTATAAATGCAATGTAAGTTTTTATTCATTTTATAAATAATATTAATTAATAATTCATCAAAACATAACAACTCTTTGAGATGACAACTTTTAATACTTCCACTCAGAGAACCTGAAAAAACGTTTAACCTCTTTTGTAAAATAGTGTAACTAACTTCACTTAATTCCTCGGCAAAAACCAACTTTGGTTTGTGTATGGATTCAAAAACTGGATTCAAAAACTGAAATGCAAGTAGCTCCATAGATAATAATACCTCTGTCCCAAAATATTTAGCTAAATCTTAAATTTTAGATAATGTTTTCTATTAGCATAATATTATGAAACATATAAATTTTATACTTTTATGAGAAATACTTTTGACGGAATATTTTCATATCATTTTTATATTATAAATACGTTTGTGAAACAAATTTTAATTTTAAGTATTTACTTAAAATTGGTCGCAAATAATAATATATGAGAATATTGGGTACAATCTCTAAATATGAATCCTCTGATTCTTCACTTGCAGTTTGAAGTGATATAATTAAAGAATTTATTTTAAAATTAAATCTCTAATCCTTCAAATATTTGAACGTTCTTGAGATCTTCGAATCTTTGTTCTTCGGATCTTCAAATCTTCTTGAATAAAGAATTCAGATTGAAGGACCTCTGGTTTTCAAGTGGCTTGATCTTCAACAAAAGGGTCGTTTTATGGCTTAATCTTCTGTTTAAGGGCCTCCCGGAATATATGGCTTGATCTTCAACTGAATTTTGATTCAATCTTCATATGAATATCTTCAAATCTTCAAAGATTCGTTCTTCATATCTTCGAATCTTCAAAGCTTCGTTCTTCAAATCTTGGAATCTTCAAGCTTCGTTCTTCAGATCTTCGAACGTTCTTCAACTTTTGTCTTTGTTTGATCAAGAATAGATGAAAATCACAAAGGATTAATCATATATTCTTGACAAAAATGTGGCTTAATATCTTCCGATGTTTCGGAATCCTTCAGAGCCTTTCGGGAGTTCTTCAGAGCTTTTCTGCAGCGTTTCTTCGACTGCAAGTTCTCCTCCTCTTTCTCTCAACTGAGACCCCTATTTATAGGTGTGGAGGGGGATGAAATATGATTTAGGGTTTGGGAAATTCGTCCATATGTCTAGGGCCTCAAATAAAATGGGCTTTGGGCTCTATTTGCATGCATTTTAATAGCTAGAAAAATCAGCATTTGTCCAATGTATTTGGACGGCTTTTTTAACAAGGTTCATAGCTATTTTCCATGAATGTGGAAGGATTTCTTAGCCAGATTCGTTGACCTCTTTATCAATTGAATCATGCCTCTTATCCATTGGGCCACTATTTGATAATGGGTTAAAAAATAATAGGACCGGTCCATTCTTTTAAAGATTTAATTTATAATTAAATTAATTGGATATTTTAAGTGATCCAAATTAATTTAATTACTAAATTCTATCTGAGCGGATCCATATTAATATTTTTCTTTTGGTACGAGTAGTCCAGTAGAATCCGATTTTGGCTCAATAACACAGATAATAGTCCAATAGCATTTAAATGAGGCTCAATGGCAATAACAACCTATCTCGAAAGTCCAATAAATTTATGAACAAATGGCCCATTAATTTTGAATGTCCACAAATGGCCCCTCGAGACTTAGGATGTTTTCTTTTGGACTGAAATTTGCTGGTCTGGTCTGGTCTGGTCTGGTCTGGTCTGTTTAAGTCTGGTCTGGTCTGGTCTGTTTAATTCTGGTCTGGTCTGGTCTGAACTGGTCTGGTCTGGTCTGATAAACGCCTGGTCTCTGTGTATTTTATAACTACGGAAGTCTGGTTTGGTCTGGTCTGTTTAAGCCTGGTCTGGTCTGGTCTAGTTTGTTTAAGTCTGGTCTGATCTGGTCTGGTCTATTTAAGTCTGGTCTGGTCTTGTCTGGGACTGAAAATAGTCCAAAAGAAAACATCCTTACTCGAATATTTGGAAGAAAAAATGGCATAGATATAACTTCTAGAGTTGTTGTAGATAAAAATATGACCATAATTCAATTTGACAAAAAAGTGACCGGCTAACTATTTCATAGCATAAACGCTCTCATCCGTATCCAAGCTTCCGTCCTTGTAGCGCTGAATCAACAAGGCTTCCGTCCAGAGCTCATCCGTCTTCCGTCCTCAAGGCTTCGCCGCGACCTGCAGACATCATCTCCGACTCTTCGTAATCTGACTTCGTCTGCTCTCTTCTCAATCGTCTTCTCCGCTCCAGAGCTCATATGCGAGAACACAGAGCCGCAGCTGCAGCCACCGTGAGAAGAGAGCCACCGATGTCGATTCCGTCGTCTCCGCCGCCGATGAACCTCTCCCTTGGCCTCGCTGCCACTCTTCTTCTCTCTTCTTCTGGTCTGCAACCCCATGGCGAGCAGAAATCGGTCACATCTGGGGGAGGGCGGCGGCTAGGGTTCATTGGCGGTGGTCAGTGCTAGGTTGGGCTGTCAAAGGTGGGGCTGGGAGGGGTGGATTGGGGCTGCTTAGGGTGGTCGGAGATGTGCAGCAGAGATTGAGTGGCTAAACGGTTGGATCTGGGTTGGGGTAGCAGGGGAGGGGGCTGGGGTTGCAGGAGAGGGGGTTGGGGGCAGAAAAGGGGATTGGGGGAGCAGGGGAGGGGGCCGGGGTAAGGGCGTAAGCAAACTCAAGCAATGGTGGTGGTGTCGAAGCGGCGTTGATGGTTTCCGGTGAAGATTTTGGTGCTAAAAGTCGCCGGAAAATTTCCCGACGACATAGTGACACATTTTCCGGTGTAGTGACATAGGTGGTGTCTATAGTGACACGGGCGGTGACCGCAGTGACATGGGCGGTGGCCGCAGTGACATGGGCGGTGGCCGCAGTGACACGGGCGGTGGCCGCAGTGACACGGGCGGTGGCCGCAGTGACACGGGCGGTGGCCACAGTGACACGGGCGGTGGCTACAGTGACACGGGTGGTTGTAGTGACATCATGTTTTCTAATTCTACGTATATGACCTTTTTGATCACTTTTTTGTCTCTTTTTAAAAATGGTCACTTTTTGAGTAATTGGTTCAGAATTAGTAATATTCAAGTAAAAACCCCTATTTGGAACAAGAAAAGTAAGTCTCGAAATAATACTCGGATTCACCTTATCTCTCTGAAATAGTTTCCGATCTTGATATAACATCATTGGAATATGTCTGACTGCCTTAAAAAGTATTTTCAAGAAATATGAATGATTCAAATGATCGCCCAATTCATTTGGAATCTTTATCAGAGGCAGGCCCAGATAAACAATAAACTAGGAGTATAATAATTCGTAAAATTATTTCCATCGTATACTTCCAAACATGGATCAAATATTGTCTTCCTCTAACCCAAAGAGAGTTTCACGTAGCCTCGGCTTCCAAGTTCTATCAGGACTTTTATTCTATCGTAGTAATCGGATCTAAACTTCTGGATTAACATCTATAAATATTAATCAAGAATTCGCTCTCTGCGTCTACACTTTGCCGAATATAACGATTTGAGAGATCAGCGTACCGGAAGGTATGTTTACTCTCCTGTTTTAATTTCTTTGGGACCTTTCTTTGGTTTTTTTTCTTTTATCAAATTGCAGGCTAGCCGCGATTTTCTTACGGTGGTGAGCAGCGGACCGATGTAGGGCTGGGCACGGGCCGGGCCGGGCCGGGGCGGGTAATGCAAAATAAAATGGAACCGCCGGTTCCATTGTACGGTCCGGTCCGGTCCGGGCATTGCAACTTTCAAAATAGGAACCGGACCTTACCCGGCCCGTTTGAAACGGGTCGGTCCGGTCCGGGTTTTACGGTTTCTATTCTCATGTCGTAAAATTAGTAAAAACTCACAAAGTTCCAAAAATCAATAATCAATAATATAGTACATTAGCAAGTTTCAAAATAACAACATAGTGATGCACATGTAACACAATTGACAAGTCCAATACTCCATAATTTCATGTATATAAGTTCCAAACAATTAAAGAAGTTCCAAAAGTCAGCAACATAGCCAAAATACATATTTTCTAACATTTTAATTTAAAAATGTTGTCTAACATCACATATTAAGGTGATTGTGTGTTTTTTATTAAATTTTCAGTATTAGCCAAAATTGACACATACATGGGAGTGGTAATCACAATTTATATATTTTAAGAACAATACTATAAAAACAAATACGGAGTATTACAAAATCATCTTTAACAAATAATTAAATTCCATAGAAAGGAATAATTCAATAACAATAAAAAGTAATAAGAAATTAGTGTAAAATTTAATCAATAATTTGAAAGCAAAATATTGTTACTGCAACTCAATTTGAAATCCTACTTCTAGCAAAGGAAAACAAAACTATTTCAAAACCGATTATCACAAAACTATTAATAAATATTAATATACAATATATATAACGGGCCGGGCGGGTACCCGGTATTTTTTTATTTTGGAACCGGCCCGGGTCCTTAAAAAAAATTACCCGAACCTACCCGGACCGTTTTATGGCAACAAAAAATGGAACCGGCCCGTTTTGGACCCGAACTGCCATTACCCGGACCGGACCGCGGTTCCAAGACCCGTTTGCTTCAAGGAGATAGCCGCTTATTTCTCCTGTTCGTTTCCGGGCCAATATGAGAAGCAGGTTAGCCGCTGATTTCTCTGGTTACTGCCGCCGCCGATGAAGGAGCAAGAAAGAAAGTTGCCAATTTGAAGAATAGGGGACTTGGAGATGGAGCTCTGGACCATGACGCTGAAGGTGCTGAGGACTGTAAGCTATGGAGACGGAGCTCTGTTCGATGAAGATGAAGGTGCCGACTATGAATGCATCTTTTGTTCGATGAGCTCTGTTCGTGCGAAGTAGATGACGGGCTGAAGTCTGAAGGAGTTGCTATTATTAGATTGGGACGCCTTCATCACTGGAGAAGAAGATGGGAGCTAATGATGGGGCTAGCTGGTTTTTTGTTGCTGATTTCTGGCGAGGGCTTTCTGCAGCGGATTTCTTCTTGTGGTTACTTGAAACTGAAGCTTCAAGGAGGCTCTTTGTCTATTTTTTTTTTCTTTTCTGTTTGTTGCTGGGCAAGTATCGAAAGCAAGCTGGCCGCCGATTGGTTTTCTGTATTTCAATGAAGAGCAGAGTAGAATACTATCGGAGTTGCTGCCATTGGTACTGCCGGCCAGAGCTTTGTTAATCGGTGGAAAGAGGTTTCAAGGAAGCAAAGCTGCTGCTGCTGTTTTCTTTTTAGAGAAAATTCCATCTCGTATGACTAAAAGAAGATGTCTTTCCTCATCTATGACTAAATGGAGTTTTATTCTTATTATATGACTCACTTGTGTCATGCCCATGCGCGTGGTTTTATATTTATATTTTAATCCCACAAGTGCTCTCTTTCAATTTAATGAATGAGCTATTATTTCTCTCCTAAAATAAAGGGCCGAACGGTTATATATCTCACGTTGTTATTGACGGACTACATGCGCACACTTAATGAGAAATAATTCAAAGAACCTCCTAAAAATAAGGAATTAATCAATACTTCGTACAAGGTAAACCTTTCCATTAATTCCTGCAAATAGCAGCATATTGGTATAATACATGGCCCTTATTACAATACATATACTCGGTAATGTCAATACGTCATACCGTATACCTTATGTTTTTTATTAACTTAATGCATATGTATTTTTAATACTGCCCTTTATTTTCTCAAACACCTGAATGCCCATTCTATCAACTTAATGCATATGTATTTGTACTGCCCTTTATGGCTTTATTACAAGACGTATACTCATTATGTCCTCTTCTAATTACCACGAAGTACTTACCTGCTACTATTACGAACGTACTCAATGTCCTCACTGCGTTAAGTCTACTTATTGCCTTAAAGGATCCATGTTTCATCCCAATCCGCATCTATTGTGATAGCAATGCCCTTAGTCTGCCATAATACTGCCCTAATACTTCCCATTAATTTCTACAGCCATGAAATTACTGCTTACATAATGCTAATGTAAAAAAATGGTTTATTTACTGCCCAAATTCAGTTTTATCCAACTCATTCTTCCATGGTGTACCCACGTTCATCTACTGCTCTAATATATATTGCCCTAATTAATACTTCCGTATGCCTTCTCTTTTTGTATGCAATAAATTCTGAGTGTCACACGCCTAGAAAATCGGCTGGTTTTCGTTTCGTAATAAACTTCCTTTTTGGTTTAAACCATACGAAAGATATACATGTCAGGGCAATGAGGTAATTTTGGTTCGTTTTAAATTTACGCAGGCTCATGAACAATGACTGGTAGTCATATTATTGACTATTCAGTTTTTAAGTCATATTTTGAGAAAGTGTTTGTGTTTTAGTCTTATTGACTTAAAAACTGAATAGTCTTATTGACTATTCAGTTTTTAAGTCATATTTTGAGAAAGTGCTTTTATTGTTGCCGTTCATTGCTCTTTGGAGAAGAAGAGCTCAAATCCACGGTTTCGAGGAAGACGACTGGAGAAGATGGTCTGGTTGAGGCTAAGGGTCGCCGTTGCTGTCGCTACTTGCTGCAGAAGGACGCTCAGTTGCTGCTTAGGCTGCCGTACATCTGTACTCTTGCGTGAAGATGACCAGAAGAAATTGGGACCAACTGCTAGATTGATTTAAATCAATATATTGGGCCTTTCTAGAATTTTAGTCTCTCTCTTTTTTTTAACAAAAATAGACGGTAGTTCTAAAAGAGGCAGGTCAGTTCGTTTAAGGAACAAGACAATGAATGATTCCATTCCATCGCAGGCCGTTCAAAAAGAAGAAGACAATGAAGGATTTCATTCCATCGCAGGTTGTTCAAAGAAGATAACAATGAAGGCGTCAGTTCCATTGCAGGTTACTCAAAGAAGAAGATAATGAAGGATTCCATTCCATTGCAGACCGTTCAAAAAGAAGAAGACAATGAAGGAGCCAGTTCCAATGCAGGTTACTCAAAGAAGAAGACAATGAAGGAGCCAATTCCATTGCAGGTTACTCAAAGAAGATGACAATGAAGCAGCCAGTTCCATTGCAGGTTACTCAAAAAAGATATTGGTGGTGTTGTTCAAGACTCCAAATACACCATCGCTTTTGCCGTCAGCGCCACCTGCTCCGTTGTTGGGATGGTGGCGTCATTCAAGACTCCAAAGTCACCATTTCTTTTGCCATCGGCGCCACCTGCTCCGTTGTTGGGATGGTGGCGTCGTTCAAGAGTCTAAAGACACCATCGCTTTTGCCATCGGAGCCACCTGCTCCGTTGTTGGGATGGTGGTACTACAAGAAGATGTCGTTCAGATCTCAACTCAATCCACTTGTGGTGAGGAGGATATCTGAGAATTCTCCAAGCTTTTGCCGTTCATCCAACTTTTTTTGTAAGCCTCCTTCTGATATTTTCTTTGACAAGGTAATAACCGCTTTCGCGGCGTTGTAGTAAAACGAAGTCTAACCTTTCAGTTTTTCCCCGAGTATCGTGTCTCTCGAGGAATGGCGGAGGAGCTTCTTGATTTCAAGTCCAGTCACAGGTTATCGCAAATTATTGGAAGCTTTCCAAATTAAAACTTTTGATTGATTTTCTAAACTACTTTTTGGAAAAGAAAGTAAATTAAATTGTGCAAATACTAATGATGGCTCAAAAATAGACTAAAGGAAAAAAATAGAATATTGAACTTAAATGGATTGATGCAAATAAGGGCAATGAATTGAGTAATTAGAAATGGATATATTCTTGGACCTAGTAATTAGGGAAACTAAAACTAAAATTGGACTAATAATTTCTTTCCTCATAGACAAGAATAGAAACTATTTTCATTAATTTATCCTATTTCTAGGTGTCATTAATGTGTTCAAAATGGTTGGCTTGAATTAAATTCTAACCTCATAGACAAGGTAGAAATAATTCTCCAATATTTTAATTAATAAAAATAGCCAAATTCATTAACTAGTTAAACTCATTATTTAAGCAATTGAATTTATCTCTCATAGACAAGATGTAAATCCCTTTCATTAAATTATCCTATTTCTAGGCCTTATTAATGTGCTTGAATATGGTTGGCTTAAATTATTTTCTAATCTCATAGACAAGTTAGAAATAATTTTCCAAGAATTTAATTAATGAATATGGCTAACAATTATTAATTACTATTTCATCATTTCAAACAACTAGTCCAAATTATGAATTTTAATCCCTAATTTTCGGTCAACAAGTCAATCCATATTCCTTTAGTCAATTCATGCCCAAAACAAATTTAGCTAATAAACATCATTTTTTCATTTAACAATACAATGAATAAATTCAACATTAACAAGGAATTAAGCATGTACAAAAATAATATTTTGCCAAAATAAACTTGTAGAACTAAAATATCACCTTCTGGAATTTTTCCCGAATTTTATAACCTAAAATCCCATTTTAACAACTAATTGATAATTTTCCCAATATTAACTAGCAAATACAAAAAAAGGCAACTACAAATATTCTAAATTCGTTCTAAATTTTATATTGACTACTAGGAGTGATATTACTGTGAATTAAATTGGAATTAGGACAGAAACTAATTTTTTGCCTTTTTTGAGTATTTAATTTAATTTATGCAATAATAACAACTAAATGCCGGAATTAATTAAAATTTACTTCTACTTCGTAAAAATTAACTTTGTTTTGATAAATAACTACCTTGAAGCTAGTAAACAACTATATAATTAATTGGAATGGATTTAATGTCAACAACTATTTTATTCAAATTTAAGAAGAAAATGCGAAATAGTGGAATAATTTTCTGGAAATTTTAGAAGCACAGATAGAAAAAACTAAGTACAGATTCAGATTCTACTCATTGAAAGGATGAAAATACATATAAAGAACTCACAATTTGGAGCTAAAATGAGAAAGATATGAAAGATTGAAGTTGAAGGTGCAACAATGGTGAAAATCCGAGCTTTGAGGAGGAAGAAGACGCCCTTTTTGATCTGATTTGGGCTTGAAATTGGTGTAATTGAGTTGAGGAAAAAGCCTGGATTTTATAGCCGAAAAATTCCCGTAGGCGCCCGGGCAGGCGGCCGCCTTCCGGCAGCCTCTGGCCGCCTGCCGTCCTGTCGCCGGCAGACCGTCGGTGGCGGTCCCGTCAGCCGTAGGCGGCCACAGAGGGCGGCCGCCTTCTGTCAAAAATGGCCGCCTGCCATCTTTTCGTTGGCAGATCGGATCCCGACGGATCCCGACGGACCCCGGCCGCCGCAGGCGGTCCAGCAGGCGGTTGCCTGCCGTCCTGTCTGGCCGCCTGCCGTCTTGTCTGGCCGACCGGTGGTTGGTTTCGTCCCCTTGTGCCGCAGGCGGCCACCGTAGGCGGCAGCCTTCGGTCTTTTCCTGGTCCCGAGTCAAAACGAGGTTGACTTCTGAATTTTCCCGTAGGCGGCCGCGAAGGCCTCCACTTTGGGCGCCTATTTGGGCGCCTTCGGCCACTTTTGTCTGGCAGATGCGGCTTTTCTTGCTCTTCAACTTTGTCTTCTGAATCACCTTGATAAAATGCTTGCTTCTTCCGGTATAAATGCATTTGTCACTCAAATTGACTCATTTTGTGCTCAATTGACCCGAAATCCCGCTAAACATATTATGGATGTGATTTTTACCCGATTTCATGAAACTTGAACCAAAATATATAAAATGTGTCTTTTCTTTCTATTTTCATTCAAAAATCGCTTAAATTTGATAAGAAAAATAAGTACAAAAATGGACTTATCAATCTCCTCACACTTAAGCGTTGCTTGTCCTCAAGCGACGAATTAGTTGTAAACACACTCAAAAGGTAAGCCTAACTGTATTACAATCTAATTGCTATTTTAAAGAAGTAGAAACAAAAACCTCATCTTTTATTCTCAATTTTTAAACATTTTAGAAAAATCACCCAAAATACAAGAGTTTAAAATTAGTATTACTTAAGAAAAACTATTTATTATGTTAAACCACCAATCAATTCCTTATCCCAAGGTTTTCATTATTTTAATTTGGACATTCATCTTGTTCACCATTTTTTTTTTGCTCTTTTTCACTCTTGTTGGCGGTGTTATCCCATGGTAAATGCATATTTCATTCTCACAGACTGTGATTAACGAATGAAACAGAGCCCCTTTTCGGAGATGGAATTGTCCTATAACAATGAGTTTTGAAGAGGTTTATTAGTAGTAACATGTTTTTTTTTAATGAATAAAATGAATGTCCAATTAAAACAAATTCGGACCTTTACATTCGCAACCAAAAACCCATAACAATTTTAAGTTTTCAAAAATAATAATAAAAGTAAATTCTTATAATAAGGGTGATTATCTAAAGTATTTTATGATTTGATAACAAATTGAGAAATTAATGTTTCATATCAAAAATAGTAAAAAGATTGTTCTAAAACAAGGTTTTGACTTTTGAGTGTAAAACAC